CATTTAGGTGTTAGAAGACTACTGAGAATGGTACTTACTTAATAATTCTTCAGATGTTTAAAGAGCCCTTTATTAAGTGAATTGAGGGGTATGCAGAACAGGGACATGTTAAGTATATTTATTCCAATTTTTATTTTTCAGCCTAATTAATCTGAATGCTGTTATAATAATGTCATGAAGTAGGAAATAGGAAGGCTTTTTTTTCCTGTAGTTGTTCTCCTTAGATTTCATTTAACTGAAAGACCTTAGCTAGAATCTAGCATTTCAGGCAATTACTTGAGCCTTGTAAAATGGTGCTAGTATTTTATCACCTCTCTTGAATTCTTTTCAGTTAACACATCAAAGGATCACTTTTGCATTTATATGGCTGCAACATGTTGGTAGTTTTATAGCCATCCTATAAGCAAATAATTCTACCTACCTCCCCCAAATAACAAGTCTCTAGCATGTAAGAGAAACTCTCATTATTATTCCCTAAACACCTGACCTTGCTGTTCAGGCTATTAGGTATCACCGTGTTTATCTTACTGAAGTCCTCAACGTCATGCTGTTTTACTGTGCTAAATATTCAGATTTTTGTTTTTATTCCTCACTGGTCTTCTCATGTCTAAATCTAAAATCAAAGCATGGTGGCCTGAAGATTCCTCAACAGTGACTCAAAAACAACATCTGAAATCCAGATCATGTTTTTTCTTTTCTATTCCTGAAGTTGTGCTTCTTGCTTCTTTTATTTTTCTCCCCTCTCCCCCTCCATGTTTATGGACATGGGCTTCATGCTACTCTTCCTCCTACCTGTCAGTGACACCCAGGATATGTACATTGTCTTTAGAGTTTCCTCTCAAAGTGCTGATGTCCTGGCAGTCTCCTGGATACAGTATAGTCCTCTGGCATACCGTTTCTAAGTCTCTCTTTTCTCTCAGTATGGTTGAAATTACAATCACGTAGCATCTTATCCTTTTTCTTTAGCTAATTAGCATCACTCCAAAATAAATATAATGAGATGTGCCATCTGGTCTTTGAGCTGGCATCCTTCCATTAAGATTCATGAAAGCTTCCTCCTTCAAGGAAGGAAGTAGTCAGACCTAGATCTCTTGGTCTAGTCAGGCTGCTTCTTCATTACTGAGAGGAATTACTTGTTTCTCCCTCCAAATGTCTTTGAACCAAGGTGGTTTATCCCCTTTTGCCTTCCTGTGCTAGGCCTGGAAGCATAGTACCTATGTGGCAAGTTGGGATGATTGATTCCACAGGTTTTCACAACCTCTTTTGATCAGTGTGGCATTTGTATATTCCCTCATGGAGACTGATGAGCAAACCTCTTCCATTCCATCATGACTCCAGTATAGCGCTGTGGCAGGAAGTTCTTAATAAATTTTGGTTTTCTTTTAGTGGAAAATGAAGGAAATGTTTAACGTATTGCCTTCATTAAATTTTGGATTCATGAGCAATGACCTGACTAATACCACATTGCTATGGGTCTTCTGCAGATCTGTAAGGGTTTACAGTCTAGCATGGACTGTCTTAGTTTTTAAGCCATACAAAACAGATGTAATTTGTGTATGAAAAAATATTTAATTATCATATTTATAATTTTTGGTTCCCTTTGAAGCAAATAAGGATATATTTGTTTGAAAAGTTTGCTTTGAAATTAAGTTTGTTTGGGTTTTTTTTGTAAGGGATTATCTGTGTTGAACATGGGAAGTTTTTCTTACATTCTATAGTAAAAAAAAAAAAGCTAAAGGAGAAGCTTTATTATTTTAAATCAATAAAGGAGGAAGAAGAACATGATGAAGACTCTGATAGTGTAGACAGTGAAGCCGCTAGCAACGAGAGATTTCAAATAAAAGAACGCATTGCCAAGAAATTGAGAATTGATACAAGTGAAAATGCTAAACAACAACCTCAAGAGGAAGAAACTAAGATGGAAAAGAAAACAACTAGTCGCAGGTAAGTATCGCACTTTGGTTTTTTGTCGGTTTTTTTTTTCTTCCTTCAGCTTGTTTACAGTTAGATTTTCTGCTCAATTCCAGTTTTGGAGTTACTACATTGATAGGTTAGTATTACGTTAAAATTGTTCCCCGCTGTCCACCTCCAACTGCGGAAGATGAAATTGCCTATTATTTTCTTAGTTTCATTTGGCAGATTGAGCCAAACGATTAAGCTACGTTTTGTTACACTGAGCACTTATTGATACCTTGTATGGTAGTTTTTATTTTTCCCTGTGAGTTATAAATGAAGAGTATTTATATGTATTTATCATGCTTTACTTTTGTCTTTCTGTACAGTTGTAAGATTGTGTTTTGTAGCTTGTTTATTTGTGGTAACATATGGTGGTCATCCACCACTGAGACTTACAGAAAGTAAAGGCTTCCTAAGTCATCCATTAAAGTGTGGTTTAACACAGTAGCCATTCTTACAGTGTACCAGGTTTTCAACGCTACAATTGATACAGCAGTTTTTAAATACCATCTAGGGCTGTACTTACAGGGTTGGAATATGTCTGGTTTTAGTAGTGTAACGCCATATTCAAATTATTAAACTAGCTGTACACAAACTATGATGTTGCTGTAGCAGTATTCAGATCCAGACATAGAAGTGTGGGTTCCAGTCATGTAATATAGCTGTGGCAGCCTTTGCGAATATCTGTACTGATTAGCACTCAATTTTCAGTGCGTTGGTTTGTTTTTTTGGAACTTTGTGTCTTCACAGTCTTTCTTCCAGAGCTGGTTTGGGAATTTCTGCCTAATAATATTTGTATTGCATAAAAACATTTGTCATGTATGCAAGTGATGTGTAGTGGACCTGATGGCAAACTTACTAGGAATTATTGTCCAGTGTTTCAATAAACATGTTCTCCAGGAGTTACTGAACAATTAAGTCTTTGCAGTTATAAAGTTTGATGTGTAAATTTACTTATTCAGAGAAATTTACTGGGGTGTAGGGAGAGAAGCATCAAAAAGGAAATTTAGACTTTGTACTCTAACTCCTCACAATTGTCATAAAGAACTGCCTGATGAAATTTTTCAGGCTTTGCCTATACTAAATTCTGTGCATGTAGTGGCTCTCTAAAACTCTTTCCCACAACAGTTCCTCTGAACTGAATTCCTACTGTTTTCTTTTTTCTTTTTTTTTTCCCTTTCTTTTGTGTGTGTGTGGTGGTTTTTGGTTTTTTTGGTTTTGTGGTTTGTTGTTTTTTCTCTGTTTACCCTCACTGCTGATATGGTTTTATATGTAATGGTCAGGTAGTATTGCCAACACGGACAAATCCAGGACGGTCTGTTTGTGACAAAAGAATAGTCAATATATATGCTTCACTAGTTCCGTAGCAATTACCATCTCTATTAATAACTGGGAAGTAAAGGCTTTGGGTCAAGACACGTGAAGATAAATTTGTTGTTATAATAATACACTTTGAGGTAAAGTAGATATTGAAACTTTGGTTGGAAAACAGAAGGAATAACTGAAACAAAATCAGTTGTTTTACAGTCGTCAGAAATTCACATCTGACTTGCACCCCTTGCAGGTTATTCTGGTTTTATATGACTATATATACGTGCTCAAAATAAAACAACTGTATCTTACTCATGAAGGGGCTGTTGAAAGTTATGGTGGGTATTTGATTATTAACTTAATTGTAAAACGAAACTAATTATTAAGAGAAAAGGGAAATCACACCCTGACGTTTGCAACTTGATGGATATCAAATTGATTATTTTTACTGAAACATTGTGATCTGGTTTTAAAAGTAAGATTAGTAAGTTTTGAGCATTTGACATTCAGAAGTAGGACATGCTTTTGGAGTCGTAGGAACACTTGTGTTATTTTGATAATCTTTTTATATTGGTGTATTAAAATATAACAGCTGTAAGTGTTGCTGTTTGTGTACATTTTTTGGAGCAGTGAAAAGCCCAGTGAGAACACTTACTAGATAATAATTTTTATTGACCACTTCAAGTTTGAATAGCTCCAGATAATAAAATATGCATGTGATTTAAGCAGGAAGTTCAATGGCCTCTTCTACATGTGCTCCAGTATTGATTTGAATCTGAGAAGCACACCAGACAGAGTACAGAAACCTTTGTAATTTGAGCAGAACTAGGTAGGTTCCACTCAGTTCTTTTCTAGGCCTGGATGGTGTTACTTCCAAAGTTCCTCAAAGTTTTGTGTTTGCTGAAGAGAAGACCCAATATTCTTAATAGCTGAAGATAAGTAAACGAGAGCATTTGATGTCAAAAATCCAGCACAATAACATAAAATGGTATAGTAAACAAAATCTGTAATTTAAATGGGTATTAGTTTTTCCTGTCATATGATTTTACTTTTAGAAAGAGGCAAGGCAACTAACTTTCATGCTTTGGCAAACTTTACGTAGTCAACAAGATTTGTGTGGTCAGATCTGTAAACTGATGTTAATCCATTTCTTTTTGGAATTGTCCATAAATCTGATCTCTTTGTAGAACTGTGTAGTGTTATGTACACTAACATAAAACTCTTATTTCATGAGTATTGGCTTTCTATTTTACATTCTTCTTTTCTCTCTATAAGAGCACCTAAATCACAGTACATGAAATTTAGTGCCATGTTTTCATGGCTGTGCTAGATATAATTAGATATAGTTTCAGAGGACATCTTCTAAAAACATAATCCCTGTTTTTCCTTTCTGCCGTCTTCAAAGTTGTGCTGTGTGGCTGCTTTGGAAATTGGTGGCTGTGCTATTGCTGCTGTAGACAGCTGGTCCACAGGAAGTATACTGAGATCAAGGAGGATGATGGATAACTTGGATCCCAAAATCTGGTGACTAGTTCTATGGTTGAGATCGATGCATAATCCCAGTGGTAAATTACATGAATATTTATCTTGAGTTGACTAAAAGGGTTATGTGTCAGTATGTGGGACAAGAGTACATAAGGTAATTTTCTGTCTCAAATCTTGCAGAAACATCGTGCTGAAGCAGTCTCCTGACTGCAGAAAGAATTAATTCTTGGTTTTCAGTGCTCTGCCTTCAGTGATTGATTCATCGTGCACCCTAATGATGTTTGTAGTATTACCCATAATATTCCCCAATACAGTATAGGTATGAGCTTGTCGGAGTCAATAAACTGTTTTTGATCATGGAGATTGGACAAATACAGATTAGTATTAGATAGCCATATCAGATAGTACCTTCAAGTACGTGGTAGCCAAACAACATCTTTATAATATCAAAAGACATTGGAGTCTGTACGTACTTACTACCTACCTAATCCGTCCAACAATCTGTCCACCAATCTGTTTAACTGTCTGTTGGGTTTTACAGGGATGGCAGCTAGCAACAAATTGTCTAAGGTTTAATAGCAAGTTTGTAGCATGAAGGGAACACAAAGTTATACCCTTGGGAATGAGGTACTCTATGCCCAAGCTTGCATGACATTGTATTATATTTTCAGAGACCTTTATATAAGCATTCCTGGCTGCTGGCTCAGCACATTGACCGTCCATGTGCAGTGTTTGTGGTTAGTATACTCTTTCAGGGCAGTAGCAGTAGTTTTATAGCCAAATGGGTTATCTTAATTGAGAAGAGGATTTTATTGGATGCATTTTTAGCAATTGGGAACCATACTCTTGGGAGATACTGCTTAGTACCACAAGTAACATCAATTTCTACACTTACTGTTTTCCAAATAATTGTCTGGCATCCACTGGGATGAAAATCAAAGGCATGGCATTGTCTGTTACAAATAGGGTGTTATTAACTTTGAGGTCTGATGAGATAAAGAAAGATAAACATTATCAAGTTTCATTGGCTGGAATAGTGACTTTTATATAAGTGTACTGGAGATGATTGATAATATTCTCATGGGACTTCACCACCCACTGTAGTCCAAGTGTGTGTTGATCAGAGCAGGCAGAGCTGTGGGAGGTGCAAATATCAAACAAAAATTTGGATCCACCATACACAGCTGAAGGGTAATGTCTATTAACATATCCGAGGGCCAAGAAACATCTGGTATCTATCAGCATTGGTTATCTCATCAGGTATTTAAATGGGCTAATAGAATAACTGAACCTCTAAAGATACTTTTTCAGAGTACTGTCTTTTAACATGCATGACTCTTTCTACAAATCTGTATTCATTTGTATCAGTCCTGTTTCTTTTAATACAAATCCATTTATGAAGTCAGAAGTTTGCACATCTGTTTCAGAGAAACAATATGGAAATAATAGACACCTTCTCAAATTCATGGTACTGAGATCCAATACTACTTTCAGTGCAATCATACTTGGAGTGCTCACATGTTCAATTCAAGTTCATTTTAGTCATTTCAGTATGTATTTGAACCTTTAATTTATGTTTGAAAAAATAATTTGAGACACTTTACAATTTTGTACTAGACATGAAACCTTGGCAAAAAGAATTTCCCACTCATTCTGGCAACTTAAGAGAAATTGCACAGGTCTGTTGTTTTTTTATTAGAAAGCTTAAACCTAAACTTCAAAGTATAGAACAGCTGTTTACATGAAAGAATATATACAGATAGAAGTGTTTGCCATCATTGCAATAGTAATCAAATTTATCAGCATTGCATCAAGTTGTAAAATGGCAGTGGCTTGAGGTGACCATCTGAAGACCTCAGAGTGAACAGTCCTCTTCTAATTTGGTAATTAAAAATATTTGGTTTCCTCCTGTAGGTGGAGCTCAGGTACTACACATTTCTGGTTACCAGCTTTTAAAAATTTTCAGTTTCTTGTTTGTAAGACATGCAGTGTGCAAGTAAGTACAGTTTTTCACTGTACAGTCAACAATTTCAGTTGCATCCTTGGTTGGTCTTTTGTAGTGTTTTTAAGTTACATGTATATGTATTTAGGTGTTTTATTTATGCTTCTACTTATTTGAACTTAATCCAGTATCTGATCTTGTGTTCAGGAAGCTACTTTTATACTTTTTTGTGAATAATGTTTGTTTGTAA